TTGGATCATTGGTGGTGCGTAATATTATGCGGCTATGCATTAAGGCCGTGCCCGTGACACACCAAGCCTATGTCAAAGAACTAGCAGTCGGTGAAAGCTGACAGTGTTGTCGCCTTGCGTTGACTGCGTCTGGGCCAAAAAGCTGCGATTGAACACACCGCAAAGACCGCAGCCGACTGCCAACTAGCATGAGCGTTAGGAAATTATGGTCTACACATCATCAGGTATCAGTCTATTTTTGTCATTCAAAAAGAGAAACCGAAACTAGGACTGCAGATATACATACCGTAAACAAAGCAGTGCTTGCTTACCATTTTAAATATCAATTATGTTGATAATTTTCTCGCGCTCTATTCTCCGACTAAAGCCGACATGTGGAACACGCTTGCTGACCGAATGGAACAAATGGTGCAACATAATAAAGTAGAGTTAGTTACAAACTAGCTAGTAGTTACTAAGCCTCTAGTGTGGACTTTAGGTTCCAGTTTAATGGCGCTTTTCCACTACACAGTACCAGCTCGCCTCGGCTCGGCTCGGCTCGACTCGACTCGACTCGACTCGCCTTTGTTTGGTTTTCCACTGTGTAAAAGTTGTAACTGTACCTGCTTTCGGGTACTTTTTTTCGTACCACCTCCGGCGAGGTTCTAAGCGAGCTGAGGCGAGCTAAGCCGATACTAAAATGTGACGTGAAAACAATGCCGACTGCTGATTGGTCACAGAGAATTTGCGTCATCATTGCACGCGCCAGATGGAGTATCCAGAATAACCCCGCAATTTTTAAATAGTTTGGCCAGAGATAGTTACTAAACTTACTACTATTATTATGGATACTCGGAAGAATACGCCGTGGTCAAATGAGGAGGTGCAGACGTTCCTTTGTTTGGTTGCCGAAGAGAGGATCCAGCGAGAGCTTGATGGGGCAATGAGGAACGAAATGCGTCGCTATGACGACCGGGTACTATTTGTGGCGGTACTTTCTGCAATGGAAAACGGAGCGAAAAGCGAGCCGAGTCGAGGCGAGTCGAGTCGAGCTGGTACTGGTAATGGAAAAGCGCCATAAGTAGGAACTTAAAAATGGCTGGTGCAACCATATCCAGATCTTTAACACTATGCCATCAAGGTTAAAGGGATAGTTCAACCAAAAATGAAAATTCTGTCATCATTTACTCACCTTCATGTCATTCCAAACCTGTAAGACTTTCCTTTATCTTCAGAACACAAATGAAGATATTTTTAATGCTAGCTTTCTGTCCCTCCGTTGACAGCTACACAACTACCATTTTGACACTTCAAAAAGTTAATAAAGAGATTGTAAAAGTAATCCATATGACTCGTGCGGTTTAGTCCAAATTTTCTGAAGAGACTAGATCGCTTTAAATGATCAACAGATTGAATTTAGGCTTTTATTAACATAAAAACAGTCAATAATGAGTTTATTTATTGAGTAAATAATGACAGAATTTTCATTTTTGGGTGAACTAACCCTTTAAGACAAGGGACAGGATCCTCACTTTATGGTCTGTAGGAAGCGCACTCTGTCGTTGATCTCGTCTGGGATTTTACTCAGGATATGTTTGAGGGCTCGTGCTTTCTCGTTCAGGTCCTGGAATTCCTGCTCTGGTCTTTCAATCATATACTCTGTGAAATATGAGTCAGAAACAAACCTTCTTAGGTTCAGATACTGCAACAAGTGCACTTTGATATTTACTGGAAAAACAAAGAGACTTTGATGGCCAATCATAACTTGTGTTACTGCAAGAAAGATCCAGATATAGGGATTGTACTAGAGGCAAATGACTTGCTTACCCTCCACATCATCTGCAGCCATGCGCAGTAGTGACTCTGTGAAGTTGATCTCCACGTTCTTCTTCTCCAGTATCTTCATGATGATATCCTGAGTGAGCCCTGGGTTCTCTTTCTCTGCCTTTAGAGGGTGGCATTGATTAAAGAGCATTAAACTCACATTAGTAAACCTCACATTATGTTAAGCATGAAATTAATCTTTTTTTTCTTTTCTTTTTTTTTACAAATACATCATCACAAGGCTCAGATGAAATGGATAACATGTCAAAAAAATAAATACTGTACTATCAGCATCTGCCAGCTGATAAATGGACACTTTCATGAAGTCTTACTTTGATAAATGCTGCCCTCAATGTCTGTGCCGCTGACAGGTTTATCCTCTCCAACTGTCATAATATAAAAGTCAAAATCTGACCAGCAATTCATATTCACATACTTTATTATAATACATCAACTACTGAAAGTTACACTACTGTCCAAAAGTTTGGGGTCAGTAAGATTTTTCTAAAAGTAATTTATACTTTTATTCACCAAGGACACATTCAATTGATCAAAACTGACAGTAAAGACATGTATAAAGTCGATTCAAATATAATGTTAATTTAAAATAAGTGCTGTTTTTTCACATTCCTATTCATCAAAGAACCATGGGGGGTGGGGGGCCGGGGGTTATTTTTTTTAGATAATTACATAATTAATAATATAAAATGGTTTCTTGCACCAAATCAGCATTAGAATGATTCCTGAAGGATCATGTGACACTGAAGACTGAAACTTTGCCACAACAGGAATAAATTACATTTAAAAAATAAATTAAAATAGAAAACTACAATGATATTTCACAATATGCTCTTTTCACTGTATTTTATTATCAAATAATTGCAGTCTTTCAAAAATAATCAATCTTTCCGACCCAAAACGTTTAAACAAACCAAATGCAGTTAACAGCATGTAAAATGTTTTTTTTTTTTTTTTTTTACAAGTCAGATAAATGAAGTAAATCAAAAAAACATAGCATATATACAAACAGCACGGTTTCTTTTTTTTGGCCAATAAACACTGCATATTGGCTTATACTGAAGTGTAAATGTAAATACCTCATTGAAGACTGGATACATGACTGCATATAATGTCATAGAGACTATTGAATTTGTCTCAGCTTCATTCTTCATCTCTTCCATTGTCATCCTCAATGGAGGCCCACCACAGGTAAAAATGGGCAGTTGAGCCACACAACTCACTCACAGTTCTCTCAAGCGCACTACAACGTTTAGAAGGAATATACTGGATTAATGGATATGTTCCAAGAATGTATTCCCAAATAATAACAATCAATAGTACTTTACATATAGCATAGTAAAAATGTTTGATAATTTAGCAATGACAGAACCATTTTTTAAGAACACTTTGATTTCAAGGAAAAGAGACCAGGGCAATTGTAACACCCCCAAACTGAAAAAAAGAGTGATTGTTTCATTTGGCAAGAAATGTTCTACATTTAAAGGAACATTATTTCATTAAAAATAGTTTATCTAGTTAAAGATTGTCCTTATACGCTGAACAATAATTTTTTTTTTATTACACTACCACTTGGACTTTTGCTTTAAACACATTATGTATGACAATTAAAAGAATACATAATAAATTAAGTAGTAGCCTAACTATATTGATACTTGGTGTGTTCAAAAGATGCAATTAATATCGCTCTGACTTAATGAAATCTCGTTGAAATCACTATTATAATAAAGTCACTCAATTTGAATATTTTAACGACATTAATAGTGCCACATAATGCTTTACACCAAACGATAGCAGTTAGATAGACATCAAATATTTATTTGGTATTTGGGGGGGGATTCTGCTATGGTCTTCCTCTATAATTAAACTTCACACGTGACAGCAGAGCCTCACCTACAGCACATAATATCGACGTTATCGGACATAATCTAACGTTAGTCACCTTATTATTAGTCAAGAAAACAGCCTAGAAAGTCGATGCTAGTGAAACTATGGTTAATTACATATCCATTGTAATGGACGGGTTAGCAGGTTGTGTAGCAAATGTTTTCTAGGCTCTTTATTATTGAACTATCCCTCGGGTTCATATCGATTCAGTTTGGTTGTTTTTAAACCGTCAAAGCCAAATCTAACAGACCTCATTCTTGATTTTAGAATTAGCTAGCAGCCTAGCTTTCATAGCTAGAGAGTAGCCGGCTGGCTATCAAAGTTAGCAGACAGAGCTGCTCATCTCGACGTCTGTAGACTTATAATATGACCACAACAGTGCCAACTGAAATACCTGCTCTCGTCTTCACCAGCACGTCCCACAGCGGAGAGATAAGTACAAAAGGCTTCCTAGACGCTTAGCTAGAAAAATGTAGCTGTGTTTGTTTTTTCAACTTCGGAAGTCGGAAGTTTTCTGCGTGAGCTGTGAGAAAGGTGACGACTTCCGTCTCCTCCTGACCAACCAGACTGCACGATCTATGGGCGTTTAAGCTTTTCTCATATTTTATTTTGAATGTAATGTAAAATATTGTTTAAAATATTTTTTATTTTAGAACAATAAACATACAGGAATTGATCTGCATAAAAGTACAGATTTATAATAATTATATGGGCAGAAGAGGAGTAAAAAATAAATAAAAGAAAAAAAGGTGACCATGACTAAAATAACCACATTAATCATAATAAAACACACACACACACACACACACAATATATATATATATATATATATATATTAAAATAAAAATATATATATTTGCTATTTATCTAAATTTAAGTAATTTTGTCTTCACATATTCAAATTAATTAAGGTTCCTACTGAGAAGCCTAAAACATTCCATATAATTTTAAATGATAATAATAGAATACTATTACAGAGCTCATGTATAGCTTTAATATTTAATATTATTATGCTTGACAGAGAAAGTCCAGATGTGCAAGATCTCAGATGAAAGTAATATGCAAGACAAAAAGTACAAATAGTAAAAAGAAACCTTTGAAAAGCATAAAAACATTTACAGTTAGTATTTTCTCCCCCCCCCCACTACTTGTTTGATGTAACTCCTATCTCTTACTACATTACTACTAAGTAAAAGATAACTGAAAATTAATTTGAAAATATTTATTTTAACCCATATTTAAAAAAAACTCAAGTACAGAACTTAAAAATAAATAATAATTGCCTATAAGAAATCATTTAAATATTCTGACATAAGGACTGTTTACTTTAGTTTTTATTCACCAGGGTGCCAGTTCATATCGCCTTAGTAAGATCAAGAAGATACAATGCTTTGATTATTTTTAAATGCTGAACAAATCCTTGTACTTGAAAGTACAAGGCACTTGCACAAGTAGTCACTTTAATAAAAAAAAAAGTGCTCACAGTTGTTGCACTTCAGTTTTCTGCCAGTGGAGAGCCATTCAGTAGACACTAGAAGCAGTCATGTTCATATCTCATGCTTTTGATTGCTTTCCTTAAGGTCTTCTTCATCTTCTTTTTATCACTGTTTCTTGGAAGCTCTCCTGCTTGGCATCGGTTTCTGCTTCTGGGTTTTCATTCAGTTATTAAGGCCCTGAAACAATTAATTATTTTATGACATTTAAAATCTTCTGTTCTTGAAATCCACTATTTAGCCTGTCTTACATTATAGTGCATGTGCATTCTAAATACAACATTGTTATGCATTGCAAGAACAAAGTGAAAATTCTTTCACTCACTAATTGATTGATAGGAAAAGACTTCTTAAGCATTTGGCTGACCCGTGCTCCATTACGTTCACTGTAGGGATCTTCTTCTCTCTCTTCATCCTCTGCTCTCTTCTGTCTGTCATGCACTGAGTCATCAAGAGTCTAATGGATGTTGCAGTGGGGATGATGGGAACAAGTCATTTTTCATGTACCATTTTGTATCAGTTCCTCAGCACACCAGTCCATCAATGCCTGTATTCCCTCACCTCATCCTCTACATCGTCCTCATATTGCTCATCCGGCTGGTCCTTTTGCGGCTCTGGATTGCCTGCCACCTATTGATGATATAGTGCATCAGTAATCTGCTTATCATTCCATACCAGTGGGTTTACTTCTTCTGCTGGCAAGTGCCAACTACTAACAGCAACTTTGTCAACAGGTTTACAGGTTTATAAAATTATATTAAAAATAAAGCATTAAAACTAAAATCAATATGTACAGTATGAAAATGGATGGTAATTTTAAGATTTGCTAAAAGTTATTTATAAGTGTGTGTTAGATGACGGCAGGAGTTAATCTTAATGTAAAAATAGAAATGATACAAACTTCCATTCTAAAGTTTGGGGTCGGTAAGATTTTTTTATGTTTTTGAAATAAGTCCCTCATGTTCACCAAGGCTGCCTTTAAAATACAGCTATAAAAACAGTAATACTATATAAATATTATTACAATTTCAAATAACTCTTTTCTATTTTTTTTTTAAACGTAATTTATTCCTGTGATGGCAAAGCTAAATGTTCATCATTACTCCAGTCTTCAGTCACATGATCCTTCAGAAATCATGCAAAGCATTTCTTATAATCATCATCAATGTTGAAAACAGTTGTGCTATCTAATATTTTTGTGGAAAGCCTGATAGATTTTTTCAGGATTCTTTGTCGAATAGAAAGTTCAAAATAACAAATATATATTTTTCTATTAAATATATTTTGATCCTTGCTGAATAGAAGTATTTCTTTAATTCCTTAAAAAAAGTCCATAAAAGACTTTATTCCATGAATAATTGAAGATGAGCTTGTCTATACCCTTCTTGTAAACTCACCACAAGCTGCTCATCCACTTCAGGCCTGATCTTGTACTCAGTTTCTTCCTCTGCCTCTTCAAATTCATCTTCGTTCTGGTTGTTGGCCTCATTCTCAATGTTCATGTTTTTTTCTCCTAGGTCCTGTTCAAAGGAGCAATTTTAAGAGAGAATAAGTCATTAATAGAAATCTTAAACTTCAAATGATGTAATTTCCTGTGATAAAACTTTAAATAAATTGTAATTTGCACTTCAAAGTCAAATATTTGAGCTTTTCAAGAAATAATACAGAGAAAGTACAGCCATAGTGTTTCCACCACACTGCCTTGATGTTATTGAATAATTCATTTACGACTCTGCATGCAATTTGTCTACATTCATGCAGTGTGTAAGTGGTCCAAATCTTTTTTTTTCTGCATGTGACACAGATCTAATTTCTGAACAGCATCAACACATTGATCTTTTTAAATCTGATTTGGGCCACTTTAATGTCCGATTATGCCATTCTTACTGCAAAGACACTCAGTGCAGAGGAAAATTTGCAAATGCAGATCCAAAAAAGACAGAGACATTACTGTATACATAATAACACACACACTGCATTATCATACACACCTTGTTATGCTTTTGAGTGTCCTCTACATCTTTTGCATCTTCTCGTCCAGCCATAACATGATGTGATTGCACAGCATTTCCTGTATTTCAAGAGAAATCAAAACTAGCAACGTACTGTGTGTGTGTGTGTATATATATATATATATATTTAACGGTATACTTTAAAGGGTTAGTTCACCCAAAAATGAAAATTATGTCATTAATGACTCACCCTCATGTCGTTCCAAGCCCATAAGACCTCCGTTCATCTTTGGAACAGTTTAAGATATTTTAGATTTAGTCCGAGAGCTTTCTGTCCCTCCATTGAAAATGTATGTACGGTATACTGTCCTTGTCCAGAAAGGAAATAAAGACATCATCAAAGTAGTCCATGTCACATTAGTGGGTTAGTTAGAATGTTTTGAAGCATCGAAAATACATTTTGGTCCAAAAATAACAAAAACTACGACTTTATTCAGCATTGTATTCTCTTCCGGTTCTGTTGTCAAGCCCCGTTCACGAGTCCGCAGTGACGCTGATGACGTAAGACGCTGCTGACGTGTATCTGGTGCGCCCGAGCTTCGTTTACAGGCTGAGGGAGACGCACGCTGTAAACAAAACAATCTTCGCAAACATGTCTAAGGATTTCGACACAGAGGAAGACTTGCATTTTTTTGCCCAGCCATATTTATTTGGACCCAAATACACGGACGCACCAGATACACGTCAGCAGCGTCTTACGTCAGCAGCGTCTTACGTAAGCAGCGTCACTGAAGCGGATTGACAACAGAACCAGAAGAGAATACAATGCTGAATAAAGTCGTTATTTTTGGACCAAAATTTATTTTCGATGCTTCAAAACATTCTAACTAACCCACTGATGTCACATGGACTACTTTGATGATGTCTTAATGTCCTTTCTGGACAAGGACAGTATACCGCACATACATTTTCAATGGAGGGACAGAAAGCTCTCGGACTAAATCTAAAACATCTTAAACTGTGTTCCGAATCATTAAGTCATTAATGACATAATTTTCATTTTTGGGTGAACTAACCCTTTAATGGGTTATTAATTGTTGTTTTTGTTTTCCAGTCTCAGCTATACAACTGCAACTTGTTTGCACTTTAGATTTTTTTTGTGCTAGAACCAATAGCTTCATAAAATACAGTAGTATCAGAAAAGGCCAATACCTGCCACAAAAAATATCCTTCCTTACCAGCAATAACTGTATCCAAAGCCTCAAAGTGTACTTTGGTTCTGTGAAGTGGCTCTGTCTGTGTCTGTTTCTCTGGGCTTTGGCTTAGCGTGTTGCGAGGGTTAATGCCCAGCTCTTCTGGGTTTGATAAGGAATGTTCCAGCACTGCCTTTCCCCCCTTATCCTCTCCTCCTCTATCCTTTGATGTGCTTCTCTCCTCTTTCTTGCCGTTTCCCTCAGCAAAAATATCAATTTTCCGAGGCTGCTTCATTGCCACTTTGGTCACATTGTTATTTTCAATCTCCAACACACCTTGAGGGGATAACCCTTTTCCATTTTCCTCATATCCTTCCACCTGTAAAGGAGAAACATCCGTATGACCAAAGTGTGGTGTGGCCTGATGATAAGACACTTGCATTAGCCACAGTCACACATTTACATTATTAAGTTACATGAGTCATCTCATACTGAAGTTGACAAACTAGCCCAAATGGCCTTTGAATATATACTTTAGCTGCAGTAGGAAGTGAGAATAATTTCAAAAAAGGATTAAGACTTAATCCATTTGTGACCTGAGAGTGTGAACAGCACACATTCATGTCAACAGTAGACTACTCCATAGCCTTTCTTAAAAATAAAAGGAAAGAAAAGCCAAATAATGAATGAGGGAGTCTTTTAACGTTGTATGTTGCATTCCCATCTGTACCTGACTGGGCATATTTTCCAGCTCCTCATTTAGGCGTTCTACTGTCTCCAGTATATAGCTGTGGGTAGCAAATTTATCAATTTTTGCTGCTTGGCCTGCACTGGAGGCTTTATTGCAATTCTCTTTTAATCGCGTCAGCTCTTCCACCTGAAGCTTCATTCAAATATTGGATTAGGATGGAATTAAACATTTCTGATGTGATACTTTGTGATGCATGGACTGGGTAATGAAAGTTAAATAGTATGAGACCTGACGCTATGAGAGAAAGATGCTAACTCAGCAGTACAGAGATAATTCAAAACGTCAATTAAATAAACTACCCAGGAGAAAATGTACTGAACTTATAATGCAAGATAGCCGCATGTTATATATTCTAACCTTCATAAATAATTTTAATAAAAAAATTGAGAATGATTTTTTTTTTTCATATTACATGATGCTACTGAAGAGATAATACCTGCAATGTAAGGTGAGGAAGAGTAATTTAAGTAGTTTAAATGTTAGAATGTGGCACATTATATCCAGTCAGACATAATGACAGTATTAAAATGTTAATGGCATGCAAACATACATCACTCACACAGGGTCAACTGTCAGGGAGGAAACACATCGGTAGTATTTACAGCTTGAACCTGTGGCCTGAGGCATAGAAAAAGATGAACCATAATATGAGACTTCAGACATGCACAAAGACATTGCTAGACAGGAGTTTCAAATCCGTCTGCACATTTCATCCGCTGTCTTTGTAGGGTGAGATGGCATAAAATGAGATGAGAACATTAGTAGGTTCAAAGGTTTTGGCTCAGTAATATATATATATATATATATATATATATATACACTCACCGGCCACTTTATTAGGTACACCTGTCCAACTGCTCGTTAACACTTAATTTCTAAGCAGCCAATCACATGGCGGCAACTCAGTGCATTTAGGCATGTAGACATGGTCAAGACAATCTCCTGCAGTTCAAACCGAGCATCAGTATGGGGAAGAAAGGTGATTTGAGTGACTTTGAACGTGGCATGATTGTTGGTGCCAGAAGGGCTGGTCTGAGTATTTCAGAAACTGCTAATCTACTGGGATTTTCACGCACAACCATCTCTAGGGTTTACAGAGAATGGTCCGAAAAAGAAAAAACATCCAGTGAGCGGCAGTTCTGTGGGCGGAAATGCCTTGTTGATGCCAGAGGTCAGAGGAGAATGGCCAGACTGGTTCGAGCTGATAGAAGGGCAACAGTGACTGAAATAACCACTCGTTACAACCGAGGTATGCAGCAAAGCATTTGTGAAGCCACAACACGCACAACCTTGAGGCGGATGGGCTACAACAGCAGAAGACTCCACCGGGTACCTCTCATCTCCACTACAAATAGGAAAAAGAGGCTACAATTTGCAAGAGCTCACCAAAATTGAACAGTTGAAGACTGGAAAAATGTTGCCTGGTCTGATGAGTCTCGATTTCTGTTGAGACATTCAGATGTTAGAGTCAGAATTTGGCGTAAACAGAATGAGAACATGGAACCATCATGCCTTGTTACCACTGTGCAGGCTGGTGGTGGTGGTGTAATGGTGTGGGGGATGTTTTCCTGGCACACTTTAGGCCCCTTAGTGCCAATTGGGCATCGTTTAAATGCCACGGCCTACCTGAGCATTGTTTCTGACCATGTCCATCCCTTTATGGCCACCATGTACCCATCCTCTGATGGCTACTTCCACCATGTCACAAAGCTCTAATCATTTCAAATTGGTTTCTTGAACATGACAATGAGTTCACTGTACTAAAATGGCCTCCACAGTCACCAGATCTCAACCCAATAGAGCATCTTTGGGATGTGGTGGAACGGGAGATTCGCATCATGGATGTGCAGCCGACAAATCTGCGGCAACTGTGTGATGCCATCATGTCAATATGGACCAAACTCCCTGAGGAATGCTTCCAGCACCTTGTTGAATCTATGCCACGAAGAATTGAGGCAGTTCTGAAGGCAAAAGGGGGTCCAACCCGTTACTAGCATGGGGTACCTAATAAAGTGGCCGGTGAGTGTATATATATATATATATATATATACACACACTACCGTTCAAAAGTTTGGGGTCAGTGAGAATTTTATTTTTATTTTTTGGAGGAAAGAAATCAATACTTTTATTTATCAAGGACAGTAAAGACATTTATAATGTTACAAAAGATTCTATTTCAAACAAATGCTGTTCTTTTGAACTTCCTATTCATCAAAGAATCCTAAAAAAAAAAAAAAAAAAAACTGTACAACTGACAGACCAACAACTGTTTCAACATTGATAATAATAATAAATGTTTCTTGAGCATCAAATCCTCATATTATACTGATTTGTGAAGGATCATTTGACACTGAAGACACTGACACTGGTGATGCTGAAAATTCAGCTTTGATCACAGGAATAAATTACACTTTACTATATATTCACACAGAAAACAGCTGATTTACACTGGAATAATATTTAATACTATAACTGATTTTTGTTGTATTTTTAATCAAATAAGCGCAGCCATGGTTAGCAGAAGAGAATTCTTTTAAAAGTATTTAAAATCGTACTGACCCCAAACTTTTGAACGGTAGTGTATATATATACTTTTAATACAGCAAGGATGCATTACATTGATTAAAAGTGACAGTGAAGACTTTTTCATTGTTACAAAACGTCAAATAAATAATGTTCTTTTGAACTTTCTATCCATCAAAGAATCCCCAAAAATGTATCACTGTTTCCACAAAAATATTAGGCTGTTTCAACATAAATAATAAGAAATGTTTCTTGAGCAGCAAATCAGCATATTAGAATGATTTCTGAAGGATCACAGGAATAAATTACATTTTAAAATACAACAAAATAGAAAACTGTTATTTTAAATTGTAATCATATTTCACAATATTACTGCTTTTCTGTATTTTTTATCAAATAAATGTAGCCTTAGTGTGCATAAGAAAATTCTTTCAAAAAAATCTTACCAACCTTTACTGACCAAAAATCTTTACCAAACCGCATTTGAACAGTAGTGTATTTAGTCTAGCTTGATAACAGTCAGCAAATACAAGTTCTGTCATGAAACTCTAGATGGCGCAGGCTGATATGTCCTTAACTATTACCTTAACTATTCTCTTTATGGCACAGCTGATTGGTTCTTGCTGTATCAGTAGCCAATGAGCTTGCTGCTCAACCTTCAAATACTTGGTCAGCATTTGGTGTAGCAATTGCAATGTGCTTTCAAAAACCCTCCATCTTTCCCAGCTCCACCTGTATAGATCTGCTACGGGTAATGCATGTATACTATATTGAACAGCAGCAGCATCTCTTACTTGCTCACAGCAGTGTGTAGTTAATGTATTGGCATCAGCAAGCCCTTATTTGGGCCGCAGCAGCAGCAGCAATAACCAACAGCAGCGACAGCGTAGCAGATCAAGACCAAACATATCAACATTGTCATATCTGTTACCATGCCAAAGTTGTCATGACAGAACTTTTATTGCTTTCTTACATTAATAGCAATCAGTATACATTAAGTGTTAAGAATTAGTATTAGGAAAGCCATTATTTTGGAATGCAATTTCGAAATCCAATTATTCTTTTATTTGCCGATTTGTTCTTGTATTTGTTTAAAACGTTGCAGCATGCAGTAGCAGAAGGGTGTACTTCAAGCAATATATCTAGAATAGGTTCTGGCAAACTTATAGTAGTAGTCATGACTCTTTGTTACCTGAGCTGCAACAAGTGCATTTTTATGGTCTTCTAATGTGAGTGTGAGATGATCTTTTGAAGCTTGCAGGTTCTTGTGCTGTTCCTGAAATGGTGAATGGTGTAATTTCAATATGTCCATCTTGAATATTAGGAGTAGTACACACAGAAATAGAGATGTTTGGTCTTGATGACAATTTGTAGGGCAACCCATAAGCTAATTTGCCATGGCTTCCCTCTGGAATTAAAGGGGTCCTGTTATGCCCTTTTACGAAGTAATTTGTTTTTGAGGTGTACTAGAATATGTTTTCATGCTTGATTGTTCAAAAAACGCATTCTTTTTAACATATTTGACATTATTACAGCACCTCTCTCCCCAGTCTGGCTCGAACATGCAGATTTCGACAAAGCCCCTCCTCCCAAAATACGAAATGTGCTGTGATTGGTTAGCTGGCCTAGTGTGTTGTGATTGGCACCACTTACCGCGTGTTAGTAAAATGTCCCACCCCTCTATAACTGTGAGTTCTTCTCTAGTGTAAATATGAATAAGGATAGAATCAATTTCAAACCAATTCGAGCCCAATTCAGACCCTGACAATGTTATTGAAGAAGAGGATTTCACAGGACGTTTCAGAGTGGTATGTTTTTTGTAATTTTCTTATACATAATATAGATACGTTGTTATTCACCATTTAATTGTCATATTTGTCGGAAAACTAAGATAATACAAATAGTAATCGATCACAAAAACATGGTTAATTTTCCTACGGGGAGGTGAACCGTCTTACAAAAGCGAGAGCTTACAAAATCAACAGAAAACCAGCTCTTCTCTATAAAATGTGCAGCACACAGATAAACCTTGGGGTTATAATGTTCAGGAACAGTGTTTAAAATAAATTAACCACAAGTTTGTGAGCCTTACACGGTCTTCTCTAATGCAGCTCAACCAGGCCTCATCCCGTTTTTTTGCGTATTCCGTGGACGCTGATTATTTAAATTAGTAACATCAGATCCGGAAAAAGCGCGTTGTAGTCCAAACAAGCCGATCGTTGTACTTCTTGAAAAGGAGATTTTGTTAAATAAAATATCTCCTTTTGGAGTGGACTTTGAGCTTTGTAACCTTGCAGATCTTTTTTATGCTCAAACAGCAACATTACACACTAACTAAAGTTGAAAAAGTGGAATAGCATAGTAGGACCCCTTTAAGGTTTAGAACTACAAACTGAATAGCAATATTATTCATGCGAATTCAAGCTCCCTTTAAACCATAATCACATAATGTATCCCAGAATCCTTTGTAGTTTCTCTGACCTGCACATCAAGTAACTGTGTGTAGATGTCCTGATGAGCTTTCCGCAGCTGTCTGTTCTCCTCGCGGAGGTTGTACACATTCTCTAAAAGTAGGAAAACAGGTGATGAAAGACTCTACAAAATGTGTATGGTCAGGTCAGGTGCATTTTATATGGATGGAAATGGATTTGGTCTGAGCCTTAAATCTGATGACTCTGAATACAAGAATAAGAGTAGCACTCTGGCTTACCTTTCAGTCTGGATATTTCAACCTCCTTCTCTCTCTGCAGGTTGTCTATTTCCAGCCTGTGCTCATCCAGCACACGTTCATGATCCTGCCCTTGATTCTGGTGCTTCTCTTGAAGTTCATAGTATTGCATCTTTAAGTCTTCATGCTGGGACTGATTAGTTGTATGCAAAAGAAGTCGATATCCAAAAAAATTATTATTCTGTTAATTATTCCATAACTTACAGAATTACTTTTTAAGAACTCCCATTATGAATGTCATCTCACCTTCAGTATTTGGTGCTCTGTCTGCAGAGCATTCAGTCGATAGGTTGAATCTTGCTGTTAGGTCGAACAAAACTGCAAGTTATTATGCATCCACAAAAGCTGAAACGGCTCTTTCAGCTCTATCATGTTTACACATCATTTAGCAATCAAAACACCATACGCTTTAAATTACCTTTTCTTTGTTGAGGGCCTTCTGTGATTCCCGCTTAAACACAAGGAAATCTATGATGTATTGACAATCAATAGAGGCTTTTAAAAACAAACATGAAGCACACTGCATTCAGCACAACCTGGACTCATTATCTATCATCATCATTATCAAATCGCATACAGATTAAGTGGCTTGTGTGAATCAGTAAATCAATTATTGTGCAAATGAACAGGACATTACCCTCCTCAGCCTTCTTATGCTCGAGTCTCTCTTTCTGGAGGGATTTCTCTAGTTTAGAATGATGCTCATATACCACTGAAAAGAGAGAGAACAATATATTTTTTATTGTGATATTATTAATCAAGTTATTTTACTCCATAACCATTACTGTAATGCAAAAATCTCATTCTCAATTGTGAAACATGAAAAATAAAGAATAATAATTATGGATAAATTATTTGTTTTAGTTATACATCATACTAGCATTATTGTACTGCCTTTAATTAAATACAGCAAAACTGTATTTCTTACTGTAATAGATTAATAACAAATAATGAGAAAACTTTAGAGGGTTAAAGTGGACTTAACTGTCCTGCAAATCATTTCCCAATGCACAATATATTTCATTATTGTTTTGGGCTGAAATGTGATCTGGACATTTCTGGACAGGTTTCATAACATTCGCCAGATATATTATGAACACTGTAATCTGGCACAGCGAGGTGAAAATTCTCAGTGTAGTGTTATCCATGTTTGTCAAAGGACTCCATTCAAAAGCTTAAAAGACAGAAAGCATTGCCATCGAATGAAAGCTAACAAGTATTCTCAAGGAATGTTGTTCACAAGAAAAGCTTGATGCTGTTCTGATGCGTGCCATCTAACGTTACTCCTTTATTATGTGCCAACTATTATGATTGGATAAGAGAAATTAACAAACAGGCCAAAACATTTTGAATAGAAATCTCCGGAGGCATGCAGCACATATCTCAAAACAATCATGTAAGCCCTAATCAAACATCTAATACACAGTGCATTCACTGTAGGATCTTTTCATAAATTTTCTACCGTGCAGCTGCGCAGAAAGTGACTCTTGATGCTGCTGGTACTTCAGAGCCGTCGCCTCAGTCTTTTTCAGCTCTTTATGCATCTCATATGAGACCATGAAGGCGCACAACGTCCCGCAAACGAAGATGAGAAGTAGGAAAGACTGAAATATTCTTCTCTGTCGTCTCGAACAAATTCCTTTCCCCATCTTTTCCTCCTCTTCTTGAGTAGACGGTAAAGACTATGTGCCATCCGATTCTTCAGTAACGTAAACGTTTAGGAGAGCCACAATGATCCGTCTGTTTATTTTTTTCCCCTTGCGATGCTGTGCCTTTAATGGACGCACCAGTTACTTTCTCGTATACCCTACTTTTTAAGTTAGCTCTAATTATAGGCTACTTATCCCTTACGGAAAAAAGTCCGACTAATGAATATGAATTGGCTTTTTCAAAACTTTCATACGTGTCATTCAGAAAGGACTGTCATTACAGTCAGTTTGTTCTCGCCAACTCCTCCCTTTTGAGTACAGTGCCACCCAGAGGCCAATGCCTACACATTCAACATTTACACAGGTCCGAAGACTACAAAATATATAGATTAAGAAACCAAACGATGACGTAGTGGTCTTATAAAAGAGTGCTTTCTCACCTATGGCCGCAAATATATATTATGTTTTTCTGAAAGTCATTAGCCTACCATCTATACCACACTGTAATTTCCACCACACTTCAGATTGTGTTGTGTAACTTAATAGCGTTTTATGGAGATTAAATAAAATACAATTTTAACATTGCTGGAATTAATGTAAATGTATAATGTATACTACAACTATTTTATTGCTATGGCTAATTCCTAGCATTTTATGTAAAAACTATTATAGTCTCACTTTTGGCATAATTTGACAAAATTACATATTTTTAATTACACACGATGAAGATTCTGTTATCGTCTTATTATATAGATTTTCTAATTTCTGGCTGCAATAAATTAATTAAATTAAATTAAATGAGTAGGCTACATGAAAATCAGATGAAAAGCTTCCATGGATGTATAAACTGAAACAAGAAGAGACCAGTTTTGTCATTTAACTTTTAACATGTTTGCAAATCAAACCAGATGTTTGTCACAGTGGCCTTTCACATCATCTGCATCTTTCTTTGATATATATGTCTGAGTTGTGCAGCTGTGAAATTGTCCATCTAGCGATGGATAGTGCTTTGCAGTCCTTTGTCTCACTGATCACGACTATACTGGATGTTTTGGAACAAGTGGGACTGGGGTCAGGAGGAGAAGCCCACTCCACAGAGAAGAGTTCAGGAGCAGAGGAGCTTTTAAACGGCTGATCCGCCGACCTGGCAGGCGCACTGTGAATAGACGAGAGCTATGGATGCCATCTATTGCAAAAATAGCTGAGTCTTCTCGCTTTAGCAGTGAATCCAGGTCTGATGCAACCTCTTTCCAGTTTCCTGTTGTTATGGGATCATGAGGATGTCGATTAGAGAGCCAGTTAGATGTGATGTACCCACTGCGTAAGATCTACTTTTTACTCTTACCTGTGAAGTTCATGAGCTCAAAACCTCAGACTACAACTTTACACAGGTGTGCAAATAAAATCTAGATATAAATTAAATCAGTTACAACTCATTGTAACTAAAATCACCAGTTAACAGCATCTCCTGGAGAGATGAACGGCAGATCAGTATTTGATCACCGACTTGTTATTGTCACACAGATCCTGAAAGCTTCCTGTCTGTGGGATGAATTTGATCATTCATAATGTTATCTTTTATTATTTCAGGTGTTTCAGAGTACATATGCAGGTAAATTGCAATTATCTTGCATCTGTATTTTTTGTCACGTCTCTTTAGAGTTTTATAGTGTGAATGCAGTGTAAAACATGTCTTTCATTAAAAAAGATCTTGGCTCATGGATCTGTCCTGTGCTTTGATAGACTTTCTCATGACCACCCAGTTCACACAGTGTTCACATATCTATAAAGATTTTCTATATAATATAATATAATATAATATAATATAATATAATGTAATATTCAACTGTGAGTCAAGGCCTTGAGAAAAGATCTTTACACTCCCTTTTCACAAACTGTGAATGATAAAAAAAAATAAAAAAAACATTAATATAGGCCATTTATAACAATATTCTGTATTCTTACTTTGGCATTAAATTACAGAAAACCAGTTAACACTGCTGTGAGGGTTTGTAAAACAGTGAAAATGTGTCATCTTTCTCTCCTCTGGCCAACACAATCAATTTCTCCATATTTTTTGTCCCTATTTTGGAAAGTCATACACTATGCATTGTTTCTTTTGCTATTGGGGAAAATGTGTATGCAAAAATTATGTTTGTTAGTTTCCATCGTAGTTTACCCAACTGACAACGTCTGCTTCTGAGAACCCCGGAAATGTGAAATATAGGTCCATTCAGCAGCTTTTTCCATTGATATCAAAATTTTACTTGGAAAAAAGGATCCTACAATTATTCTGGGACAATGATAAAAAAAAAAAAAAAAAAAAAAAAAACATTTTTTTGAGGAGTTGGTAAAGTTTCTAATGTGTCCTACAAGTATTATTATTATCATTTATTATACAACTCCTGGGAAATAAAAGTGCCAGAAGTAGAAAAAACACCCCAATGAAACATTTAATAAGCACATCCATCCTAAATTGTGCTTTCCTAAATTGACTATTTGGGAATAGGCCTATTTGTTGGGAATACTTTACATTTATAATATGTAAAGATACAACAGTTTTGCATTCACATACCTGAAATCACAATGAAATTCATCAGTTTGAATTGTGAACTGTAAATCTGTAAGGATTGCCAAATAATTCTGAGCTCTATACTGTAAATGTACATACTTTATGAATATTGTTTGAGATACAGTGTTATATAAAAAAATTCTTTACTTTAAAACCTAGTTTGTTTTTTTACAATACCATTGTCATGTTACAAAACCTTTAGAATCAATGGCAATGTTTTTAAACATAATTAATGCAGAAACAGCAAGTGAATACATTTGCATCAACTATATATAAACAGTCATTTATATTGCTGTGTTAGGCCTTCATACTGGTGAAAGGGCTGGGCGATAAAACGATAACGATAATTATCGCGATATAATTTTTCTCGATAAAACGATATCAAGAGGTCGATAAATGTTCGATAATGTGTATGCGCCAAAAGCGGAACGAAACTCATTTGAACCGCGCGCCTCACGGACTGTTTATCCGCTCGGATCAAAGTCCAAACGGCAGCGCGAGCTCACTAGAGTAGACGCGTTTACTCTGATCGGCCTCGCTCACGAGATCCAGTGAGAAGCGCTTGAATTCAGCGAAGAACACACACGTCTCAGTGATTTAAACCAGTTTAAAGGCAGATGAAACCGCGCTGACGAACAGGAGAAACACTGTGATACAGTCAGAATATGAACTGATACTGAATCCATTTACCATGGATTTACTGTAAGGTTAGCCTAGTAATATTAACTGCACCATGAAATGTGGGATATACACTCACCGGCCACTTTATTAGGTACCCCATGCTAGTAACGGGTTGGACCCCCTTTTGCCTTCAGAACTGCCTCAATTCTTCGTGGCATAGATTCAACAAGGTGCTGGAAGCATTCCTCAGGGAGTTTGGTCCATATTGACATGATGGCATCACACAGTTGCCGCAGATTTGTCGGCTGCACATCCATGATGCGAATCTCCCGTTCCACCACATCCCAAAGATGCTCTATTGGGTTGAGATCTGGTGACTGTGGAGGCCATTTTAGTACAGTGAACTCATTGTCATGTTCAAGAAACCAATTTGAAATGATTAGAGCTTTGTGACATGGTGGAAGTAGCCATCAGAGGATGGGTACATGGTGGCCATAAAGGGATGGACATGGTCAGAAACAATGCTCAGGTAGGCCGTGGCATTTAAACGATGCCCAATTGGCACTAAGGGGCCTAAAGTGTGCCAGGAAAACATCCCCCACACCATTACACCACCACCACCAGCCTGCACAGTGGTAACAAGGCATGATGGTTCCATGTTCTCATTCTGTTTACGCCAAATTCTGACTCTACCATCTGAATGTCTCAACAGAAATCGAGACTCATCAGACCAGGCAACATTTTTCCAGTCTTCAACTGTTCAATTTTGGTGAGCTCTTGCAAATTGTAGCCTCTTTTTCCTATTTGTAGTGGAGATGAGTGGTACCCGGTGGAGTCTTCTGCTGTTGTAGCCCATCCGCCTCAAGGTTGTGCGTGTTGTGGCTTCACAAATGCTTTGCTGCATACCTCGGTTGTAACGAGTGGTTATTTCAGTCACTGTTGCCCTTCTATCAGCTCGAACCAGTCTGGCCATTCTCCTCTGACCTCTGGCATCAACAAGGCATTTCCGCCCACAGAACTGCCGCTCACTGGATGTTTTTTCTTTTTCGGACCATTCTCTGTAAACCCTAGAGATGGTTGTGCGTGAAAATCCCAGTAGATTAGCAGTTTCTGAAATACTCAGACCAGCCCTTCTGGCACCAACAATCATGCCACGTTCAAAGTCACTCAAATCAACTTTCTTCCCCATACTGATGCTCGGTTTGAACTGCAGGAGATTGTCTTGACCATGTCTACATGCCTAAATGCACTGAGTTGCCGCCATGTGATTGGCTGCTTAGAAATTAAGTGTTAACGAGCAGTTGGACAGGTGTACCTAATAAAGTGGCCGGTGAGTGTACACACTGAATTGTATTATATTATTAATGTAGACAATGTTTTAAATGACTAATGGAATATAATTACAGTATTTAATAATGTATTTAGGCTACTTTTGTCATACAAATACCATAGAAACCATAAAGTTACATTTTGCCATGATAGTGAGGTGCTATAAGTTAGGCTATGCCTGGTTTTATCTGTGGTTATCATGATCTAAATGCATGATACTGGATAACCAATGGTTCATTTTAATAAAACTCAAACAGTCAGAATATTACATTTTACCAAATAAAAATGTGGTCGTTAATTTTTTTTTTTTTAAACATGTTACTGTTTTTGTTAATGAACATAAATTGAACAGAGTAGTATTAGCTTGAGTTAGGATGCAGATTTACTGTCAACTCACTGTCAAATATGCATTTCGAGACAAAACATGTAATTTGAATATTGCAGCCTGCACTGCAAACTGTGCTGAAGAAATATTTTTCTATTCAGATATTTATTTTGTTAAGGAAAAATGACAAATGTTTGAATGTTCTACCTCAGATTTGTGAAATGTTCACCTGTTTGGCAAGTGTTTGTCATGATATGTTCTGACAATAAAGAGTTAAAACCACAATTAATGCTCTGGTTTATACAACTTTCACTTAGGAGCAAAAATCTGCCTTTAAACTTGAAAGAAATAAAGATTTGACATTTATCGTGATAATTATCGATATCGACTGATATAAAAAAAAATATCGTGATAATTTTTTTGGGCCATATCGCCCAGCCCCATTGCCTCTATGTAGGTTGACAGGACAAAGTTAGGTCAGTCAACATAAAGGGCTCTGACCTTGTACCTCTCACACCATTGGAAAATACTGCTCATTGTAACAATCATTACACATACACATGTGGGTGTCATTTCAGAGTTACTGTCTCTGGTTTACGCCTTGTTTGGGTTCATTTTATAGCATGTGTGGTCAGACTGGACCAACTGGCAATATATTGGAGCAACACATATGCAGCAATGAGACAGACAAACATAGTAAATTACTAAACCACAAGAGCAGGAAAATCTGTTTCGAATTATTGTTGAACAGTGTAAACAGTCATGTCCAGCATGGTGCTGTAAATAAATCCGGACTTGCCCCACCTTAAGTCAATTACCGGTAAATTAAAATTTGGTACAACAGAAACAGTTCTGCTATTTGTAGTCCATTAAATTATGCTCACTGAGCCACTCCGCTAGAATTTTTATTAGCTTTTTACTCATTTAACTGATTTATTTACATGTCAATGCAATTTACTCTTTAATGTACTAAAATAAAATAAAAGAATACAAAATATTAAACTATTTTAATTGGCTTTGTGTACAGTGTTTTAAGGTCAAAAAGGATCTTCTCAAGAGTTCACCCCAAAAATTAAAAAATTCTATCATTATACTCCCCTTCATGTTGTCAGAAACCTGCTTGATTTTCTTTCTTCTGTGAAGCACAAAAGAAGATATTTTGAAGAATGTTTCAGCCGTATATGATGTACCATTAAAGTCCGTTGCACCTCATTGACTTTCAATGGACAAACAATCTTGTTTTGTGCTCCACAGCACAGAACAAGGAATGACATGAGGGTGAGTAAAATTAATTTGGGGGTAGATTATCCCTTTAAGCAGTGCTTTTGATTTGGAATGAAAAAGAAGATAATTACAAAATCATTAATGATATACAATATAATATACAACGTATTGTGATGAATATTGGTGCAGTCTCAGTTGATATATTGAGCGCCACCATGTGGGATGATCTCTGAAACACCCCATCCAATCACATTCCCGCGGCCATCACAGGATCCGTCGTGATTGGCGTACTCTTTAATCCTCTCTGCTTCCAGCACATGGTCCCACATGTTAACCCCTGTCATTTTCCCAGTGAAGGCAACCGATGAGTCCAGATCTCTGTAGATACCCGACCGGCTGCGCTCTTGCCCGAGCAGAAAGAACCCATCACCGGACAATACGTTCCCCTCGGCTACTCCAGGCTCTCTGGCAACGTTCTCTCCATTTACCCACAAAGTGGCCAGCCCCTGCTCTGAGCTCCAAGCTGCACAGAAGTGTCCCCACTGCCCATCTGTTACTGCGCCGTGAGCTTCCACTAGATGGGTCTCACCGCCCACCGTGAGGAGCACCGAGCGCCTTGCCATGAGAAGCTGGAGCTCATGAGGTTTTTTCTTGGTTCCGTAAGAGAAAAGCACTGTTTTATTTAGAGACTGTGTCACTTTGGCCCACAGACAGATGGTGAATGATTGTAGGGACATGGACATGGAGGGTGTTACTTCTGCAAAGATGTGCTTGGAGCGCATTGGGAATAATAAAGCCATTTCACAGCCTTAAAAAAGAGAATGAGAGTTAGCATAAAAGTCAAGATCAATTATTGCATTAAATCAGCATACAAATACTGACAGGTATTCAGGGCCACAGAAATTAAATATTACAGATTTTAGGCTATTAAATATAGGCAACACACTGCCGGACCGGTCAAAAGTTTGGAATCATGATTTTTTTAGTGGTTTTGAAGATAAATTAATCATTTCAGTTAATAATGTTTATATTTTTATCAATGTTTACAATGTTTTTGCTGCTTATTATTTGTGTGATATATTTTTTTCAGGATTTCAGAAAGTTCAAAAGAACAGCATTTATTTGAAATGGAAGTCTTTTGTAGCATTATAAATGTCTTTACTGTCACTTCTGAACAATTTTATCCACCCTATAACATGTATAAGGGTTTCCGCAAATATATTAAGCTGCAAAAACTGTTTTCAACATTGATAATAATAAGAAATGTTTCTTCAGCAGCAAATCAGCATATTAGAATGATTTCTGAAGAATCTTGTGACACTGAAGACTGGTAATGGCTGTTGAAAATTATTTTTCATCACAATACATTTTAAAAATAATATTAAAATTAGAAAACAGTCATTTTAAATTGCAATAATATTTTACATTATTAACTGTATTTGTCTGTCTGCCCTGTCTGTTCCCTATGCCCTAAACCAAATTGCCCTTTGCGGATTAGCAACCCGTAGTAAATTAAAATAATAAACAGTGAAATCATCATGAATTTGTTTTCGTAGTTGAAACATCTACCTGAGGGCAGATAGCGGTGTGCCGTTGCTCTTTGGAAAAGGGCCAGCTGGGCATGTACCCTTTGGAGATCTACAGCGGTGGCCATTAGCGCTCTCTCCAGTTTCCCGCTATCTCCATTGCTTGCTTCTTGTTCCTTTGGATAAGCGGAGAATGACTTCATGGCCACTTGTCCCAGACCTGAGTTGCTCTCCAGTTTGGTGAGACGGGAGGCCTGGTTCCTGCTGAACTGAATGAGCTGCTGCAACGTCTCATTGTTTTGGGCTTGATACATATCTGCAACCTCTCTGAGCTGCTTTATGGCTTGGTTCAGATTGCGGTTCATCTGTTCACTTATACATTTGCAGGTGTTTTCTGAAGCTTGGACGCACGCTTTGTTGTTGTTAAGCTTATGGAGCTCCTTCCATATGGTGTCCATCTCTGCCTTAACCATGTCTTCAGTCTGCTGCATGAGCATGTCTTGCTTCATCTGAGAGTCCTCCAGCATGATGAAAAGTTTGTCCCAGCGTGAGAGGTCTTGAGGCGGACAGGGAATTTGCGTAGGTCCAGCTGTAAAAAAAGAGCATGATTTTTACTGCTCTGTGTTTGTGTATTTGACCGAAAAGGTAACATCATGTAATAATTCTAAACAAAATGTACTTTTATTTAAATACATTTTTTTGTCATGTTTTATTCTTCCTATAGGGCCACAGATGAAGGTTTTGTTGCAGGCTCAAGAACTGCTAAATGCAGCTTTGCTTATTCCTCAGCACCTAACCTAAATAACAGAGACAAGTTCTCTGAAAATGAATAACCTTATGCTCATAAGCATCCTCTGGTTAATAAGTTCAAGCTCCAGGCTTGGGTTTGCTGGAGAGAGCGTCAGTGGAAAGGTATGTAAATGTCAAATGTCATGAAACCTACCAACACTTTTGCTTTTTTAAAAGCTGTCATGACTCGTGACACATTATGCATATCACTGTGCATTACTAATACAGATGAATTATTCAAATACATTTGGGTTGTTGACATAAAACAATTTTAGAATGTTGCCTGCATGGTGTGAAATGCCACATCTAAAACTATAACAACAGTATTTTGCTACATAATTTGACAGGTTATATGGAATATTTGTGGTTTTAATTTTAAGTTGGAACTCTGTAAGATCATTAAAACTTGTGAAAAGCAAAAATGTTTACAATCTACTACATAAAATATTTGTACTTTTAATATTAAGTTGTCACACTTCAAGACCATTTAAAATGGATGGGTTTCATAACAAGAAACGATGACCAGATATAGCACCAAATGTAGCCTTTATACATTATCAATAATAACTTGAATATATATATGTGTTTGTTCACCTACCCATTTAATACTCAATATTGCTGTTAGTTTCATATTAAAGTAATTTGCCATGCTGTCAGTTATTTTAAGTCAAATGAGAATCTAAATTTCAGTACAAAAAAACCCATTTATAAATAAAAATGAAGAGACTTCTGGAGTAAAAAAAAAACTTACTTTGCAGGCGGTCACCATTGGAGATTTCGTTATAGTAGGAATCAGAGTACTCCTCTCCATAATCATAACCAAACACATTCCCACTCAAAAAGCAGGGCAGACAGAGGGCCAACACGGCCCCGGGCGCGTACATTCTGATGTTAATGCTGGTGTGTATGTTAGTCTGTCTCTGCATGTAATCAGATTATTTTGAAGTAAATCAGATGTTCCACAGCTACTAAGATCCCTTGTGGGGGGGTTTTCTTCCCTGTGTTGTAACTCAGCCACCGTGCCTCATGTGCCTGGAAGCCCACTGAGTGTGCATGAGTCTGAGCAAGCTCTTTTAAACAGCACTCAGAGCAGGGCTGTCACACTGTGAGTAATGCTTTGTTGGAGGTGGGCAGCATTTATGATGTATTCAAATGTCATGGTCTCTACCGCTGTTTGGGCAAGAAATTGTCATGGGGGTGTGGAAAGGAAAATAGGAAAGGGGTTGGGTCTCCCCAAATGAGAATTCTGCCTCAAGTCAAAGTGGATAGAGAGATTTGGACAAAAAAGATGTTTGATGTTATGGGAGTAGCTATAGTAACTCCAGAGGGAGCTTTCATTGTCCATGACAGTGAAACCAGCAATAAGAAAGATATGAATTGAGAAGGAACTTGTAGATAACATTACGAGTTAACTTCTGGATTCATATCTTTCTTATTGCTGTTCAACACATGAATGTGCTAGTTCCACTTTTGTCTCTTAAAGGGAAAGTTCACCCACAAATGAGAATTCTGTCATTTTGTCACCCTCATGTCGTTCCAAACCTGTATGACTTTCTTTCTTCTGCAGAACCATGTGCAGAAATAGGATATTTTTAAGAATATTGCAACTCTCCATACAATGAAGATCAGTTCAACAAACACCATGAGACATTTTTGTGTTGCACAGATGAAAGAAAGCCATACAGGTTTGGAACAACTATATAGGGTTGTAAATGATGAATAAATGACAGAATGGTCATTTTTGGGTAAACTATTCTTTTCATATTCTGAGGTTTCAGCTCTGAATATTAACAGGTTGTGTAAATATTAACTGTGGGTGCATTAGACTAGAGCATCAACTCTTTGCTGATTGAAGTTTAACTCATTTGTCAGATTGAAGAGGACTTGGGAATTCAATTACGCAACACAATTTTGAATTAATTGTGTCAAGACCTATATTCATAAATTACCAGCAGATCTTCAGGGAGGCGCAGGACAAACAAAGATTGTGTAATGTGTACTGCTCGGAAACGTGACTAGGAGATACAAACGCAGGCTTTATCGAGTGCAATCCATAATCGTAATCCATTTAACATGCATAAGGTCAAAACCACCAGGTAAACAATCTAGATACAGACAAAAGTCCAAGGCACAGGCAAACAGGGCAATCCAGGGAGACAAGCAGAAGAACAAGACCATGACAATGTAAGCAGAAATAGCATTATGAAATGCAGTGTAACACAAACATGCAGCAAGATTTCAAAAAGAATGACTGAACACACAGAACGAGATAATAATACACAGGTGACAGGAATCAGAACATAATGAGTCCAGGCAATGAATCATGGCAAATGCAGTTCATGATACAATCAAGCAGACAGGACAAGTGCCCTCTGGTGGCTATCATCTGCACTCCAGCTGACAGGTGTGACATAGTCCCCCTTTAAGGAGCGGCTTTCACATAAATCCAGGAGAGAGGTGGCACGGAGGCGGAACCGGGGGAGGGATGGAGGGCCAGGTCCATGGACAGGAAACAAGACTTGGAACTGAGACGGATCATGGAACCGGGAGAGCAGGTGACCAGGGCAAATCATGCAAAGCAGGTGGCCAGGGCGGAGCCGGCAGGACTGAAGATATCACAGCGACCATGATATGGCTGGAGACTCTGGTGTGGCGGCCATGGCGGCTGAAGACTCTGGTGTCCATGACGGCTGAAGACTCTGCCATGACGGCCATGACGGCTGAAGGCTCTGGCGTGACGGCCATGACGGCTGAAGGCTCTGGCGTGACGGCCATGACGGCTGAAGGCTCTGGCGTGACGGCCATGACGGCTGAAGGCTCTGGCGTGACGGCCATGATGGCTAAAAACTCTGGCATGACGGCCATGATGGCTGAAGGCTCTGGTGTGACGACCATGACAGCTGAAGGCTCTGGTGTGACGACCATGACGGCTGAAGACTCTGGTGTGACGACCATGACGGCTGAAGGCTCTAGTGTGACGACCATGACGGCTGAAGGCTCTGGCATGACGGCCATGACGGCTGAAGACTCTGGCATGACGGCCATGACGGCTGAAGGCTCTGGTGTGACGACCATGACGGCTGAAGGCTCTGGTGTGACGGCCATGACGGCTGAAGACTCTGGTGTGACGGCCATGATGGCTGAAGGCTCTGGTGTGACGACCATGACGGCTGAAGGCTCTGGTGTGACAGCCATGACGGCTGAAGGCTCTGGCATGACGGCCATGACGGCTGAAGGCTCTGGTGTGACGGCCATGATGGCTGAAGGCTCTGGTGTGACGGCCATGATGGCTGAAGGCTCTGGTGTGACGGCCATGACGGCTGAAAGCTCTGGCATGACGGCCATGATGGCTGAAGGCTCTGGTGTGACGGCCATGACGGCTGAAGGCTCTGGTGTGACGGCCATGACGGCTGAAAGCTCTGGCATGACGGCCATGATGGCTGAAGGCTCTGGTGTGACGGCCATGACGGCTGAAAGCTCTGGCATGACGGCCATGATGGCTGAAGGCTCTGGTGTGACGGCCATGACGGCTGAAGGCTCTGGTGTGACGGCTGAAGACTCTGGTGTGACGACCATGACGGCTGAAGACTCTGGTGTGACGACCATGACGGCTGAAGACTCTGGTGTGACGACCATGACGGCTGAAGACTCTGGTGTGACGACCATGACGGCTGAAGGCTCTGGTGTGACGACCATGACGGCTGAAGACTCTGGTGTGACGACCATGACAGCTGAAGGCTCTGGTGTGACGGCCATGACGGCTGAAGGCATGGCATGACGGCTGAAGGCTCTGGCATGACGGCCATGACGGCTGAAGACTCTGGCATGACGGCCGAAGACTCTGGTGTGACGACCATGACGGCTGAAGGCTCTGACGTGGTGGCCATTTTGTGACGAGGCTCTGGCGGGTGCGACATGATGACTGAGGATTCTAAACTTGGGATTACCGGACTCAGAAGTGTTGTGAGCATTGGACTTAAGAACATCAGACAAGGAATTGCTGAACACCGTGTTGTGCAGCTCTATGGCCAAAAAAAAGTGTTTAGGGGAAGGGTCCTCCTCCTTTCATCCACCGTGAAAGAGGAACCATGTGTATGTGTAACCTCAATACATTTTGAAGGAACAGACTGAACACTTGAAGTCGAAGGATTGTGGCTTGAACACTTGAAGTTGATTATTTTTCCAGCATAAATATATATATATTTCAGATCAATCAAACCAGAGCAGTTTTAAACTAATGCTCCACCCACTGCTTATGTTATGAGTGGAGATTTTTTTTTAGAAACACAGCCAAATAATTTACTGACAACATCTGTTAAATACTCCTTGTCTGGGGCGTGTCTATAGTTTCCAATAGGCTTTTATGAAAGTGACAGAAATAGCATTGTTATGTAGATTAAGTGTTTGTCGGCTCTTGTGCTGTGCACATGCGTTAATCATTATCACGTTCTTAGAGTTTTTCTCCAAAAGTGCAACTTATTCTTGTATATTACTATGTTAAAAAACTGAACATAATACTTTAGCACACTGAAAATAATTTATTTTTGCAGAACAGGTTTTACTGTTAACTTGCAGTCAAAATTTCTGAGAAGGCATTACAAATATGACAGCTGTATTTGGTTCCCAATTTTAAATGATATTCTGTTAGAACATCATTTTAGCTCTGTTGATATTGAAGAAACATATAAACAAACCCATTAGAAAGCACTTGCTTTTCCTTATATACACAATGTGCTCAGTTGTTGTCCTTGGCCCACAATTGTAATTCCTCAACCTTAAGTAAATAAAAGTGTAAAACAGTACTAAAATGGGCGGCTCTATCTTTGCAGATTTTTACTCTCAGACAACAGCATAAAAAATTCCAAAAGACAGAAATTCTGAGAATCAATCATTAACTAAACATCTGTGAAATCTCTCCCCCAGTGATTTATCATCTTCTACAGAGCAGTAGTTTCATTCCATTCTGTTTGTTTGTGGGGGTTTTACAGACACACCACATACTATATTGTGTTACATAGAAACAGAAATCAGTGATCACGTGTGATTTTGTTCCAAACCGATAGTTAAGCAATCGGTTCACAAAACAGAGGAGCCTCCGTCAGAACAAAATTGAGAACATGTGGAGATGGAAATATTTGGAGAATTAGGCCCAGCATGAACCAGTTAACACCAGCTCTGGACTGTTTCTATAAATGGGTTTTAGATTATGAGGTATATGAACTGAACTTTCTTCAGGTGTCCTATGACACCTAGTCTCAATAAAGCAATGCAGCTGGTGCAGACTAGGTCAATAGCTGCACAACAAGGCACCTGTATACCATACCAGAGGGGATATAATATATTTACACTTGAGTAAAACCCACCTTTGCTTCCCTCCACTGACACACATTATAGAATGGAAAATGACCTCAGGCCTAGCACCGTCTGAACAGCGTTGAGGAGAGAGGTGAGAGGTTGAGAATGTGTCAAACAACAGCAGTTTGTATGTTTGCCATCAGCTGCCAGGTCTCTTTGGCCCTGCTGTATGTCACAGCCACAGGCTTTGGCAAATCAGCATGTTAAGAAAATATAGCTGGCTTTGATTTCTAAAAGGAACAAAGTTGGTTCTCACTAGCGTACAAGCAGCCAATCAAATCTGCGTGAGGTAAAGCTGGGCGGAGACTTCAGAGAACAAAAACATTCATTACCATTCCTCAGGTAATGAACATGTTCGCCATGAAGTCAGACACAGAAACATGCTGATTTATGTCACCTGGTTGTCCATGCCAAACTCGCTACGGGGCAACAACTTTTTCTCCAATCTCGGGGGGCTACTTCAAAACTGCCTCATAAAGCGGGGTATTGTTCAGGTTTAACTGTGCAGTACTGCTGATGACATTTCCTTCCTGTGGACTAGGGTTTTAGATATTTGACTCAAGAATGTCTTGTTCATAATGATGGCTCCTGGGTCAATGAAGCTCCTGCACTGTGAAATGAAGGACTCATAGAGAATTCAGCATGTAGGCATGATATCATTTTTGGTTTCAAACATCAAATTTGAATTTCATAATTTATG